AGAAGGTATTTCATATTTGAAAACTAGGTATAAATTATATGTTCCTGATAATACATGGAGTTGACCATAACAGTTTTCTCAACTCTTTTTAATTTTTATTTGTTGCTATATCAAAACCCAACAAAATAATAAATCCCTTTGAAAAACTTTCTTTAGATTCATTCTTTGGACCATTTTAAAGATTTAAAGGTTTTTCTACTCCCCTTTGATGATAATAAATGGATTTCTTTTCATTGTATCATTTAAATACATTTTTTATCCAGACAAATATTTCTCATGAAGAATTCTGCAGTGCGTTCTGCTGTGATATGTCGTGTAGAAAGAAGGCACAAATTATATTTTTCTGCCTTTTTCAGATTCAAATAGACATTAATTACTTTGTTTCCAGTTGATAGTGAGCATTTTAATGATTTTGTAACTCTTCTTTGACTTAGCAGATTTTTTTTTAACATTAAAGATCTTATCTTTGCAATATTCAAAACAGTCCTTTTTTTTTTTTTTTTTTTTTTTTTTTTTTTTTTTTTTTTTTTTCCTTCTTGGATATGTGTTTGGAACAATTTTTTTTCCTTGAAGCAAAGCTTTGATGTTTTTTCCTTTCTTGTTGACAGTGCTTACCCTATCATAGCTTTGCATATCGAGAAACCATGGCTTTCACAGCATTTTTTTCATAACTAGATATGACTAATTTTTTTGAGAAGAAGCCAAACATAGCTTTCCATCCATTGTTTTTTTTTAAAAGTGACATTTTGCTGAAAACAAAACTGTCAAGTAGCAGATGAAAATTTATACTTTCAAAAATATACTTGCAGTTAAAAAAAATTCCAAGCATAAGTTTTTTTCGGTACTTACGTATTATCGCAACCAGGTTGGCGCGATTTGTAAGTTTGAGTAAAAGAGTATGAATAGAAAGAAAATGCACATTTATTAATTACAGATTATTTTTAATACAGTTTTTTTTTTATATATTTTGTTTTTTAAAATATAAAATAGCAATTAAACCCTTCCGGTTTCGAATTTGAATAAGTTGCAGAATTATTTTTTTGGCGGAAATCTTTTGGCTATTGCTTTTAGCACTGATTGAAAACCGTCTTCGCCATTAACAGCTTCAACTTGGCGTCATATAAATTCGATAAGGTATGAGTCAAGATGATGACGGGCTGTTCCTCTCTGTTTTTTGTTGCACCATTTGGCTGAGCCCCACATGCGCTCTACATGTTGTGTGTGAACACCTGTGTTGGGATCCACAAAGTTATATCATTAACAGTTCCATGCAGAAATCCAGCATTTTCGAACTTACTTGTATTGTATCCTTTCCAGCAATCCGAATAAATGATGCTTCCTTCCTTGATATTTTCGCAAATTTTTTCCATGAGGGTAACGGCGCTTCTGTTAGGTACAGTAACAAAAAAAGTCTCTTTTCTCGGCAAATTCCGCCGAAAACCCATTGCTGTGGTAGTACACGCCCAGTGTTATTTTTTCTTTTTCAAATAAACTTTCATCTATACGTAGGGTTGCCAAATTTGGCGATTTATGCGAATTTTGGCCTGGTTGCGTTAATACGTAAGTACCTTTTTTTCTTTTTAAAGCAAAATCGTCTAAAAATGTGTGTAAACAGCCTTTTGTACTACTGAAAACATTGCCCATTTTTCACAGTATATCAAGGATGGTTTACATCTGAAGCAAAGCTTCCTTGTGTTTTTTATTGATTTAAATCTGCTTTTGATTAAGTCTGGAGAAGACTCCTGCTCAGAAAATTAATGAATATAAATATTTCTGGAGATCTATATCAATGGATTAGTGATTTTTTGAGTCAGTGCTTCATTAATGTAAGCTATGGGAGTGCTTTTTTCTGGTTTTAAATAAACAAGACAAAGCCTTCTCCAGGGTATGCAGATGATCTTGTTTTATAGAGTACAGAAAAAGGACATTGTCCAACTGGATAGAATTCTGAACTCAGCTTTAAAAATCTTAGACAAATGGACAGATGCAAATAAGACCCCATTTGAACTCTTTGCTCTGAGCACTAAAAATACTAAAATCAACCTTAGATGAAATCAACCTTAGTCTAGAACTGATGGCATGACTTACTTGAGGATTGGATCCAAAACTAAACTGGAATAGACAAGTATCTCTCTTATATTCATTGAATTCTTGACTATGATGCAGAATCACTTATAACAGCATCTGATTCCCCTCTTCAAGACTGAATATTGTCCAAAACTGTGCACTTTGGCTCATTACTGTACAGCTTTTTCAAATCCTGTGGTGGCCATGGAGCTGCAGACTGGTCTACCTAATTTGACTGATCACCTCTTTCCTTAGTGAAGACACCTTTTGGACTAACTATGTTCCAGCTTAATCTAGACTAAAGACACAAAACTCTTTCTGTGTGATGATTGATTAACTATCAAGAAATACGGGGCTTCCCTTACATCGTCTGATCATTTTTAAACAGACTGATTAATAGTGTCTCTAGCAGCAATTTTATAACCAGAAGATTTTTTGCTGTTACCAGATAAAATTTGTATAATTGTAGTTTCAGAATTAAATTGTGTTGGCTTAATAAATCAATTACAGAATTTGTACTATGCTATTCTTTTTCTCTCATTCAATATGAAACACCCTGTATTATGTTGGCAACATACATTTTTGTTTTCTTCTCATAAATTTCCTTATTTCTTAGAAAATATTTCTTTTTATTACTATTTATAATTATTACACAGTGAATAAATAAGTACTTATGAGCCATAAAGCTTAACAGAAGCCAAATAAATGTTTTCCAATACTAAACTGGCAACTTTCAAAGAGGTGCGGATAATCAGAAAGTATGAAAATTTTCATGCATACTGACATATTTAATCACATCTAAATTTAGAACTTTATTCTCTGACATATCAGATGATCCTAAGCATGAAATTTTATTTGTAAATATATATAAAGTTTTAAAGATTTTTTTAAATAAAACTTCTATAATTTTTTGACATTTTAAATACTTTTAAAACATACATCTTAAAAAATTACAGTATCTTTTTAAGACTGCAAAGATTTCATATTTAAAGTGCAGAATTAATAACCAAAGTTTTAAAATTCCAAAAGATTTAAGTATATTTTCATTTCTACCCCCTTTTTTAAAAATTCATTGTACATAAATACAGCACTTTTCAAACTACTTGAAAGTCTGGTAATTACATATTAACACAGCCTTCTTGGCGATTTTTTATAGACGAAATAGTAAAAATTACTTATTGGGTGCAAGTTGGCACTTTTTGTGCGTTATTTTTTCAGAAGCATTCTCAAACTATTGATATTTATAATAAGTTCGTAAACACCAACATATGAAACAAAAACATAGGTTAATAATTTAAAAGTACAAACTTTAAGTATGAAATAAGCATTATGTGATGCATTAAAATAATAAAATGCTGACATTCTTATTTAAGTCTCTGTAAGTGTTTTGCACTATTCTTCTCTTGAAATATATAAAAATCTATCTCTGCTTAAAAAAAAAAAAAAAAAAAAAAAAAAAAAAAAAATCAGAGAATTGTGGAGACTTGGCTTCATGCAAACCTCAGTAACAGTGGCTAACTAGGAAACACATTTTCTTGTTACTTCCATTAGAGATTTTTCAGTAAAATTTTGTATTCCTGCAGAAATTTTACCACTGTTTCTGCCTTAAAACAAAGGGGAAAATATTATGATTTGTTTATAAAAACAGTTGAAACACAAAATACAGCAAAAAAAGAGTGCATACAAAAATGAGTGTTGCTTGACTGAAGGATTGTTATGAGCATGGTTGCTGGAAGAGTGGTTATGTGCACAGTTGCCAAAGTTTGGCACATTTTGAAAATTTGGTAACTTCTCCTAAGCTGGTTCTGTTAATATGAAAAAAGCCAAATTCTTCTCTTTGCAAAACTCACAGTTCCTACAAACATTGTCTTTAAATTATAATTTTTTTGCTAATACTAATAAGGAGAAAAAATTACTTATTCTCACAATTTTGTCATTTAATACTTGGTTCCAAAAATCTAAGCAATACACATTTAGCTAATCTTTGATCTTGAGGTCAATATATGTTCCCTTTCTAAATAAGCAAAAACATTAAAAATAATTCTCCTTTGAAATCAATATCAATATGGATATTTTAATTATCCAGTTGAAATAGTATAAACAGACATGGTCAAGTGGGCATAGTGTTTTACTAGGAAATGAATACTCTATACAGTTTAGATACAGCATTATATCACTAAAACTAAGCTACTAGAATTAATTTTAAATTAATCTAATGCTCTTAACAAGACTGGGCAGGGAAAGAAAGCAGAATTCAAGGTGACACTTTTTTTTTTTTTTTGGTAAATTTACATTGTAGGGTCAAAATGATACCGGCTAAAGTTCCAGGAGAAAATAACTCTAGAATTCGTTCAAATTAAGATACATAATAAAATTTTTAGCTGTGCCCATCTAAGTGAATTGGTTAAAAATAATACAAAAATAAAACTCTAAAGGGACAGAGATAGATTAACTTCATGTCAAAATGACACAGATATTCTACAAGTTTATACAAAAAAGTACTTCAGCATCTAAGGATGTTATTTTCAGGATATTTAAACAGACTTGTCAACATATAAGATAAGCACATGACAGTATTCATACAGAATCATTCAGAAAGTAAACAGTATGAGTTTTGGGATTTCCTAAAAAAAGAAACTCGCTCATAAGCAGATTTATAGGAATTGCCCAGGTCGCTATTAAAAGGAATTCCTGAATCACTGACTGATTTTTAAAAAACAATAAATATACTTTGTGACTAGAATGAGAAGCCTTCAAAAAACTGATAAGATGGGCTTACATTGCTAATTATCCTTTATAAATGTTAGAAATATTAGCCATTGACATTAAATAGTTTAAGTTGTTAGGTATCTGGGACTTAGAAAAAATAATTTAAGATTGTTTTTATAATAATTACTGTAGCCTTTTTCACTTAGACACAAACAGAACATTACACAACAGCAATTGGTAAATTCAGGACAGGAACTAAGAATATGAATTCTAGTTGTAATTAATAAAAGTACATACTTTTCACCATCTCTGGAACTTAATTTTGCATCTGAATATTCTTCAGCATTTTCATCTCCCATTTCTGGTGCATCAAAGAAATCTTCATACATTAGATCTTTAGATGACTAATGGATTACAAAAATAATATACAGACTTTAACTTTTAAAATAATAAAAATGTAAAAAGAACATATAAACAAATACTACAATTTCCTGTTCACAAAAAATCTTGTTATGAATTTAACATTTTCACCCTCCTAAAAAATCATGAGTAATGTTTAAAGCACACTGTAGAACACAACAGTTACTTATTTTTGAATTTTAAGGGAGTTATTTAACATTCTGAGAGTTACAGGATTTTAGATCCGTCATGAAGACCGGTATTTAAATAGCATGTATTAATATTTATTTTTACTTAAAAAAAATATCCCAGAATTGCATAAAAATGGCATTGCGCACACTCTTCACTTCTATCATGTACACTGCATTTTTCTAATAAATTTGAAAATTTCACGAAAATGCATGAAATTTTGTGAATCTTAAATCCGGTAAAAGAACATATATGAAATTACCTGACTTTACCCTCTTTTACCTCAAATTATCTATTATATATAAACGTCACCAACGAATTCATACCGCAAACATTACAAATGGTTACAAATTACTTAGTATCAAATATTTTAAATTATTTCATGCACGTTTACTTCAACTGAAACGTTACGCAAATTCCTACAAACATAAAATTCACAAAATAACTATCATTAATTAAAAATAATTAAATTCAAACATACTTAAAATATAAAAATCATTGCTAATAACAATTTTCTAATAATTACCATATTATTTTATTTACTCCTTACATTTAGAACAATGCATAAAAATAATATCTCAAATAATTAAAATACTAAACTTACCTAATCTTCTTCAGAATCTTGATTACGTGTGTGAGAAACTTTTCTTATTTCCCGCTACATGAAAAGCAAGCGTTGTGCGCCTGTTTTCAGAACCTTTAAAATCTACTTATAGTTCACAGCAAGTACCCGTAAAAGAAATAACTTAAGAAACATCTTTACTTCTACTCACATAACCTTAAAAAAACACTTATTATACCCCTTTCATCCCATAATACCCATTTCGAATTCACGTTAGTTAGGGCCATGGATCCAAAAAATTAATGAACACGTTTCACACAACAAGAATAGAGCTAAATAAAAAATTCAGATTTTTTCTGATTTTTCTTTTTTTCCGATAAAAGACTGTCCAAAAAGTCCTAGGTACTAACCTTTATCGCCTCCAAATGTCGCCAAACTACCAGTTACCATATTCCAAAGATCAGCCAAAAACAATACAAACAGTTTTAATTATGCATTTTTTCATCAGTCAGAAAATGTCACACCTTTTTCTTTTGTCATCAATTTCAACTCATCAAAATTTTTATAACACATATGATCAAAAACATATACAGTCAAAAGCCATTAATTCGGACACCCATAATCCGGACCTCAAAGCTACAAACTTTCTGCGCATGCGTCGCGATCACGCAAGTTTGTACCTTTACGAGTGCGTGTAAGACCTTTACGGATGCGAATATATTTTTGCGCATGCGCGTTTAATGTGTAACGGGTGGTAAATCTAAGCAAAAATTATTTAATTAGTTAATGTTGCAGATTGCGTTGGTTTGTTCCCTTAATTTTCGAATTGGATCGGCTTATTATTTTTGCGTACTGTTAGAGCAATTTTAAAAGTAAGCTTGAACTTTCATTATTAAATAGAATTTCCGATAATATTTACTATTAGTAATTTGTATCTACAAAGCGAAAGTACCGAAATTGTTTATCAATTTCCACACGCGGATTGGAATGATCTGTCAGCACTATCTTATCTCAGGGCAATTTTTTATTTTATTTGGCTAATAATTCCTTACTAAGTTTAGTATTCATCTCGATTACTCAGTCTTTGTATGATTTAAATCAAGTTCTCTCATTATAATTCGCTTCCGATATGAGAAGTGACCACAGGTTTATTGAGAAACATTTCGTTGACAAATTAGTCGGTATTCTCAACACAGCAATTATAGGATTAACAGCGGAACTTTGTAACGAAACAGAATTATGTGTGTTTAAAGAATTAAAGAGAAAGTATTATCACATAACGAAGCAACTTACATTGAAAGAAATGTTTAATAAAGTAATATTAAGCTTTTTTCTTTTTGTAATTTTGATACCCTTTAGATCATAATTGTTCTTATTTTTCATAAATTTTCATATTTTTAATTTTGAATTTGCATGCCATCTTACATATTTAACTGATGATCTATATTCGGAAAAATTGATAATCCGGAATCGCCGAAGTCCCGACGAGTCCGGATTAACGACTTTTGACTATGTATTTTTGATGCAATATATATTACCATGTATATATCGGATTGTAACGAAAGTTTCCCCGTCACCACAAATATCATTGGCGTAATAGTTTGCACTCACGTGTTTAATCATTTTTTTCATGAAATTTGTAAAAAGATATCATTATTATTAAGTACAAGGTGTCTGAAATTGAACTATCATGCTACCAGATTAGAACCATCATTTACTTCCAGTTCCAAAAATTCAGCTATAGAATGTCACCAAATCATGCATACAGCTTTAGGTATTAATGTTGTATAATATGACAGTGTGAAGATTAGGTATCAAAAATTCAAAAATGGGGACAATGACACTGAAGAAGCAGAGTACTCTGGGCGGCCTACTGCCGTTGATAAGGCTTGCCCGCGAGAACTTGTGGAAGATCACTATGGAACCACGCGAGAGCTAGCTAAGAAGTTAAACGTTACTGCCATGTCCATTAGTCACACTATACATCACTATGTGGCAAAACTGAGTTAGGAAGTCAGTAGGACTTCATAGGACAACCAAGCATAGCTTCGTAAGGTGAGCATTTGGTTTCCTCATGATATGCTTTTTCATTGCTTGAACAAATTTTAACCCTTCCGGCTACTTTTCTGTCTTATTTGTTTCCATCTATGTTAAAAACATGTTCTCCACGTCTTAGTTCGCCAGAACCTTATGATTGACTGTGTCTCGGTTTACCATGAACTATTTTTATATCACTCTATTTCATATAAACTGTTGATGATTTCGCTGCAAAATTCCCCCATTGCAGATGGGTGCCAGATGAGCTGACTCAAGCAAATAAGGACAGACGTGTTCAGACCTGCATTAATCTCCTTGAATAACACTGCAAGAACAAAATTCTGGACCAGATCATCACTTGTGATGAAAAGTGAATTTACTTCAACAACTCAAGCTGAAAAGGGGTTTCATTTGCACCCAGTGAGCCAGTCGGCAGCATCGCAAACAGCAGTTTGACTAATAAAAGGATCATGCTTTGTATCTGCTGGGATTGCTCTGGTATTATCCACAAAGAATATCTGGGAAAAGTACAGTAAGGTGTACAGTGAGCTAGTCCATGATGACAATGCTATCAAGGAAAAATGTTGAACTGAGTTCCAGGGCAAAACGGGAATGTTCTATCAAGATAATGCAAGACTACATTTGTCTGCATTCACCGGCTGGACTTTGTACGGACTCAAATGGGATCATTCGCCACATCTACTATATAGCCAGAATATCGCTCCTTTGGATATCTACCTTTTTTTTATACTTGCAACTACATCTTTTAGGCCAAAGGCTTTGAAAAACTACCAAAACATTGGCAGAAAATCATAGATTTGGGTGGTTATAAGTACTCACACTAAAAGTACTGCTTTCATGTTTTTTTTTTTCCCTAACTTAATTAAGAAAGTTTTTTGGTGGAAAAACTTTCGGTTGATCTTTACAATATGGTAACTGGCAGTTTGGCGACATTTTGGAGGCGATAAAGGTTACTACCTGGGACTTTGGTAATAATGTGAGCAGTACTCAGTTCCGATTACGCATTATTTTGTGTGAGGGAAATGAGAGATCATGGGATATGTCATGTGATATGTGTCATTAATGGACAAATTACGGTTTTTTTAATCGGAAAAAGGGGGGAAATCGGGAAAAAATCTGGAATTTTGTATTTGGCTTTATTCTGTTGTTGTGTGAAACGTGTTCGTGAATTTTTGGATCCCATGGCCGTAACTAAAGTGAATTCGAAATGGGTATTTATGTATGTATTAATTAATGTATGTGCTCATTTATATTTTAAGTAGTGTTTTTGAATTTAATTATATTTTAATGAAATGATAGTTATTTTGTGAAATTTTATGTTTGTAGGAATTTGGTATACGTTTTAGTTGAAGTAAAAGTGCATGGAAATAATTTAAATATTGACACTAAGTATTTGTAATGGTTGCGGTATGAATTCATTGGTGACGTGTATAATGTAATAGATGGTTTAGAGGTAAAGTTTTTGGATATTTTTATTTATTTTATATGTGAAATGTTCATATTTGAAAAGGGTAATACTTTTTCGCGATCAGGTAATTTCTATCTGTTCTTTTTATCGGGATTAAAGATTGAGAAAATTGTCATGTATTTCGTGAAATTTTTCTAATTTATGAGAAAAAAGCTTGTACAGGATATAGTGCAGAGTGTGCGCAATGCCATTTTTGTGAAATTCTGGGGATGTTTTTTTAAGTAAAAATAGTCGGCGTGTACATGGTTTAGTGATTTTTAATTAAATGATAGTTTTTTGTGAATTTTATGTTTGTAGGAATTTGATAATTTAGTTAAAGTGCATGGCTAATTTAATATTTGTCTTGAGGTAAGTTGGGGATGAATTGTTGGTACTCTCTGTCCTAGATGTTTTCGGTGTTTTTTTTTTCTTTATTTTTTTAGGTGTTTTTGCTATTTTTCCCGGTAAATCCTTTTTCTCTCATGTAATTCATATATGTTCTTTTTCCGGGTTTAAAGATTGAGAAAATTGTCAGTATTTTCGTGACTTTTTTTAATTTATGAGAAAAAAGCAGTGTACATGATATAGTAAAGAGTGTGCGGCAATGCCATTTTGTGCAATTCTGGGATTTTTTTTAGTAAAAATAAGTCGATGTGTACATGGTTTAGTGATATTTTAATGAAATGATGATTTTGTGAATTTGCTTGTAGGATTTGGTATACGTTAAGTTGAATAAACGTGCATGAAATAATTTAAATTTGATACTAAGTATTTGTAATGCTTGCGGTATGAATTCGTTGGTGACGTGTATAATGTAATAGCGATTTAGAGGTAAAAGTTTTTGGATATTTTATTTATTTTATATGGGAAATGTTCATATTGTAAAGGGTAAATACTTTTGCGCGATCAGGTAATTTCATATATGTCTTTTACCGATTTAAAGATTGAGAAAATTGTCATGTATTTTCGTGAAATTTTTGTAATTTATGAGAAAAAAGCAGTGCACTTGGATATAGTGAAGAGTGTGCGCAATGCCATTTTTGTGCAATTCTGGGATGTTTTTTTAAGTAAAAAATAAGTCGGCGTGTACTGGTTTATGTGTATGTGTTATTTTAAAAATCGTAAGCAGAATGGTATGTGCAGTTTTCCTAATTTTGCAGTGATATTGTCATGATAAGCAGTTTTGTTTGATAAAATCTCTAGCATAAGTTAAATTCAGCTAGTAGATTGTTGGAAGAAGTGTCAGGAGATAAAAAGAAAAGAAACAGTCTTTACTTCGTGAAGACAAATGCGGCGGGGAAAAAAAAATAGAGGGTTGCTGTAGGGGAGTTGGTCGCCAAATTTTCGCCAAAAATCGCCAGTTACCAAATGTTAAGATCAACCCACTTTATTTACGGCCTTGGGATCCAAAAATTCACAAACACTATTTCACACAAACACAGAATAAAGCCAAATACAAAATTTCCAGATTTTTTTCCCGATTTCCCCCCTTTCCGATTAAAGAACCGTAATTCGTCCATTAATATCACATGACATACCCCATGATCTCTCATTTCCCCCACACAAAATAATGCGTAATCGGAAGTGAGTACTGCCACATTTATTACCAAAGTCCCAGGTAGTACCTTTATCCGTCCAAAATGTCGCCAAACTACCAGTTACCGTAATGTAAGTCAACCGTAAAGTGAATTCGAAATGGGTATTTAGTGGTATTGAAAAGGATAGTAAGAAATGTTTTTTAAGGTTGTGTGAGAGAGAAATAAACATGTTTTATTATTTTATTTATTTTACCTGGTATCTTGCTTGAAAGATAAGTATGATTTTTTAAGATTCTGAAAGAGAATGAAGAAAAGTGTATCGCCACGTAATGAAGATTCTGAAGGAGATTAGGTAAGTTAGTATTTTAATTATTTTTATGCATTGTTGGAAATGTAAGGTGGAAAGGAATTGGTATTATTGGGAAAGTTATTAGAATGATTTAGTTTAAAGTAATTAGATTGTAAGGTAATTTTTATAATTGAATGTATGTGCTTCATGTATATTTTAAGTGGTGTTTTGAATTTAATTATATTTTATGAAATGATGGTGATCTTTACATTACGGTAAACTTGGCAATTTGTTGGCGAAATTTGCGACCACTCCCCTACAGCAACCCTCTATTTTTTTTTCCCCGCCGCCATTTTGTCTTCACGAAGTAAGTAAAGTTTTCTTTTCTTATTATCTACTGAACACTTCTTCAACAATCTACAGCCGAATTACACTTATGCTAGAAATTTATCAACAAAAACTGCTTAATCATGACAAATATTCACTCCAAAATTCAGAAAAGTGCACAATACAATACCCTTACGCTTTTTTCAAAATAACACATCACATAACCATGTACACAGCCGACTTATTTTTACTTAAAAAAACATCCCAGAATTGCACAAAATGGCATTGCGCACACTCTTCACTATATCCATGTACACTGCTTTTTTCTCATAAATTCGAAAATTCACGAAAATACAGGACAATTTTCTCAATCTTTAAACCCGGTAAAAAGAAATATATGAAATTAATGATCGCGAAAAAGTATTTACCCTTTACAAATATGAACTTTCCAACATATAAAAAAATAAAATATCCAAAAACTTTACCCTCTAAATCATCTATTACATTATACACGTCACCAACGAATTCATACATGAAGCATTACAATATTTAAATTATTTCCATGCACATTTATTTCACTTAAAACTACACCAAATTCCTACAAGTATAAAATTCACAAAATAACTATCATTTCATTAAAATATAATTAAATTCAAAAACACCACTTAAAATATACATGAGCACATACATTCAATTAATAAAAATTACCTTACAATCCTAATTACTTAAACAAATCATTGCTAATAACAATTTTCCCAATAATACCAAATTCCTTTCCACCTTACATTTCCAACAATGCATAAAAAATAATTAAAAATACTAACTTACCTAATCTCCTCAGAATCTTCATTACGTGGCGGATACACTTTTCTTCATTCTTTCAGAATCTTTAAATCATACTTATCTTTCAAAGCGATACCAGGTAAAATAAATACATAATAAACCTGTTTATTTCTCTCTCACACAACCTTAAAAACATTTCTACTACCTTTCAAGACCACTAAACCCATTTCGAATTCACTTTACTTACGCATGGGATCCAAAAATTCAAACCACTATTTTCACACAACACAGAATAAAGCCAATACAAAATTTCCAGATTTTTCCCCGAATTTCCCCCCTTTTCCGATTAAAGAACCGTAATTCGTCCATTATCACATGACATATCCCATGATCTTGCATTTCCCCCCACAAAATAATCGTAATCGGAACTCAGTATGCTCACATTATACCAAAGTCCCAGGTAGTAAACCTTTATCGCCTCCAAAATGTCGCCAAACTACCAGTTACCGTAATGTAAAGATCAACCGAATGATAGTTATTTTGTGAATTTTATACTTGTAGGAATTTGGTGTATGTTTAAGTTGAAATAAACGTGCATGGAAATAATTTAAATATTGACATTAAGTATTTGTAATGCTTGAGGTATGAATTCGTTTTTGACGTGTATAATGTAATAGATGATTTAGAGGTAAAAGTTTTTGGATATTTTTATTTATTTATAGGTGGAAAGTTGATATTTTGTAAAGGGTAAATACTTTTTCGCAATCATGTAATTTCATATATGTTCTTATTTCCGGTTTAAGATGATTAAAATTGTCATGTATTTTCGTGAAATTTTTTTAATTTATGAGATAAAAGCAGTGTACATGGATATAGTGAAGAGTGTGCGCAATGCATTTTTGTGCAATTCTGGGATGTTTTTTTAAGTAAAAGTAAGTCGACGTGTAACATGGTTCAGTGATATTTTAATGAAATGATAGTTATTTTGTGAATTTTATGCTTGTAGGAATTTGGTTTACGTTTAAGTTGAAATAAACGTGCATGGAAATAATTTAAATATTTGATACTAAATATATGTAATGCTTCATGTATGAATTCGTTGGTGACGTGTATAATGTAATAGATGATTTAGAGGTAAAAGTTTTTGGGATATTTTATTTATTTATATGTGGAAATGTTCTATTTGTAAAGGGTAAATACTTTTTCGTGATCAGGTAATTTCATATATTCTTTTTACCGGGTTTAAAGATTGAGAAAATTGTCACGTATTTTCGTGAAATTTTTCGAATTTATGAGAAAAAAGCAGTGTACATGGATATAGTGAAGAGTGTGCGCAATGCCATTTTTGTGCAATTCTGGGATTTTTTTTTAAGTAAAAATAAGTCGGCGTGTACATGGTTTATGTGTATGTGTTATTTTGAAAAACGCGTAAGGTGTATGGTATTGTGCACTTTTTCCAAATTTTGCAATGAATATTTGTCATGATTAAGCAGTTTTGTTTGATAAAATTTCTAGCATAAGTGTAATTCGGCTAGTAGATTGTTGGAAGAAGTGTTCAGTAGATAAGAAGAAAAGAAACATGTCTTTACTTCGTGAAGACAAAATGGCGGCGGGGAAAAAAAAAATAGAGGGTTGCTGTAGGGGAGTTGGTCGCCAAATTTTCGCTAAGTTACCGTAATGTAAAGATCAACCAAAAAATTAATTCTGCTGAAATCTCTGCACTCTCAGAATGCAGCACTGCACTGCTGTCATTCTAACATGCAAAGTATTGAAAATACTGAATTCCTGATATTTGAATGCCATACAAAATGTAAAGTGATTAATACCTATACTTAACACAAAAAATTGCCAAATACATAAAGAAAACCATTGGTGGAAATTAATGTATACATACTTTTTTGGTTTTGCTGCTTGGTTCTTCATCTGATCCACCCGCAGAATCATCTGTATTATCAGAAGGAATATCTTGAAATAAATCGATCTCATCTTCATTCTCTGATGTTATAGTATCACTTTTTTCCTCTTTTAAATCTTCTAATTTTAAAAACTGCTCCATTTTTGACAACTTGAAAAACTGATCATCAACTATAGATGAATGTTTCGATCTTTCAAGTGGTTTTGACTTTACTTCTGTTTTTGGGGGAAGTTCAACAGAAGAATCTGAATCATCGTCATCAAACACATATTCTTCATTTTCATCATTGATAGATGACTGATCATCCAGCATGCATTCTTCTTCGTCATGAGTGCCTTTCTGTGACGAATTGTTTTCTGTAGTAATATGAAGGACAGCATTTTGTGGATTGATATTAGATATAATTTTAGAGAATGATGTCACAGCACATTTATTTTGTAATTCAATTTGCTGCCAGATTTGCTCCTCATCGAAACCCTCTACCAATAATTTTGGTAGTGATTCCGACTTTAAATGAGTATAAGAATTGAGTTTCCATGTGAAATCATACAATGATTTCGTAATTGACTGAAATTTTGCAGTACTTTCTGGATGCTGCCTAGAAAACAGAGGGAAAGAATAAATAATTTGTGATTCAGTTACAATGTTATACATAAAAAAAACTGCATTTAATACAGATAAAATTAGAGTAAAAAGAAAAAAAAAAGGCACAGCTAATACGTACTCAACATAAATTTCAGGGTTCTTCGTTAACTCCTCGAAAGACAAGAGTATATCTTCAAAAATGCTGTCTTCAACGCACGTTTCCATCTTGCTTGTTTACAAGAGATGAACTAGTGTTGCCAAAATTCATTATCTTAATAAAGCAATATAGGAGAAATTATAGCAGACAAAGCCAAACCTTTGCAGGAATTTTAGTTAGGCACAGCAAATTTGTCAGTATATTATCGGTGAAAAATCATTTAAGAGGGAAAAGAGTTTCTATAGCATCAGTCATTTAGCTTAAACTTTTTTTCTCACTTCGAACCGAACCGAACAAGTATTATTGGGTTAGCGCGCGAAGCATCATTTCTGGGTTAGCGCGAAAGGTGATCCAAAGGAGGAATCTGATGTTACAGGTTTAATTGCTTTCTTGAAAAAAGAAATTGAAGAAACGTAAGCAGTTAATAAACCGGAGCTGAAATCCATTCCATCGAACGGAAAGAATAAACATTTTGACAAACACAAAAATAATTTTACACAAACAATAAGTTAACCCCTCGTCCGCTGCCGAATTATTAACTCCCGTAAAAGAAAACTGCATTTTTTGCAAAAATAGCACACATAATAGTGAAAACTGTAATATAAGTGTAAATGAAAAAAGAAATGTACTAAAATTACAGGGATGATGTTAATTATATTTAGCTAAAGGACGCGACATGATTACCACAATGGCAGACGATCGCTTTCTCTTGCTATGTGCATAATGCTGTATGACAGCTGGCTTCGCATCTCTCTGTTACTGCAGGATGGCACATATCCCTCCAAACTATATCGCGCCAAACTGCATGATGATGGAATGTACGCCCGACGACCTGTGGTATGCGTTTCTTTGTTCCCATCGCATGTCAAAGAGCGGTTGAATTAGGCCTGTGAACAGCGCAGCTGAACACTAGAGCAGTGGTACCACGTACTCTTTACAAGAAGACTCGATTATAACATCGAGAACTATACCCAAAGGGCAATGATATGGTGAGAACCATGGACTCGATATCGGCCGCGAAACGTCATCAAAAAAGACCATTAAGAGGTTAATCTACATGGGCTGGATAACAACCAACAGTCACACCGACCTCTACTTGATTCCTGGTGGTTCCATCACAGCGTGATATCGCGACTAAATTCTACATCTTCTTGTGTGTCCTTTTATTATTGCAATAGGTACCGAAGCGATATTTATGGACGATAACACCTGCCCGAATAGAGCTCGAATGGTGCGATTTGGAGAGTGAAACCATTACACATCTGCCGTAGCCTGCTAGATTAGCAGACCCGAAATCCCTTACAGCATGTGTGGGACACGTTGTGACTACGGATAGTAGGTCGCAATGTACGGCCGGCACCCCCCCCCCCAATCTCCGATATGCATTCCTACAGGAATGGACGCTTTTACCATAACAAGTGATAAACCACCCTATTGCCAGCTTACTTCGCCATTGTCACCGCTATAGCCCAGAAGTTTCCATTGTATATTCTTCTGACCCATTCGGTCTTTCACTATGTAATAAATTATTATGGTAAAAATTTTACAGGTTATAATTCAAATTTTTTTCGAAAAATTCGATGGTCGTAATATATGTGTTTTTGTATTTCTTTGCCTTATTGTTTGCTTTGTGGTCTAGCAATGCCATACCGACCTCTTAGATCAATTCAAGCATATAATTAAAACGCTTTTGTTTTATTCCTTGTTTTGCCTTTGTTGCTTATTTTTTGAGCAGGATAGCACATTTTTAATATATGCATATGTATGTTAGGTTTTTGTGCCTACTTTATCTGTAGCAATTTTAATTTTGCTTCAATTAATATAAGCAATGATTTAAATGAAAATTTTTAATATGAAGTACATAAAAATAAGAGTTAAGTTTATTTAATATTTATATTGAGTTTTGAATTTCAAATTATGGTAGTGTTAAAATTTCTGTGTATCAGTCATTTTCTCTTAAACTATTTAGAAAAGTTAGAGGATATTTTGCATAAACAAATTTCGAGTTTAGAAATAGTTAAATCCATTCCGACGAATAGTATAAAAAGTATTACGACTAATTAATCTTATACATTATAGCACAATATGCGTCAAAGAATTTCCTAGACAAATATGCACTGCGAAAAAAAATGGAACATTTCTATATCTCCCATTCTACTGGGCCGATTCACGAAATTCAAATTGCGTTCTTCATATCTCGAAAGCGCTACTTAGGATATATATATATTAGATTTATACATAGCTCTATTCTAACATAGGTATTTTTACACAAAATTAGACTTGTTCTGAAATGTCATGCCATTTTTTTCCATATTTCGATTCTATGGCCCAAATTATACTTAAATATATAATTTTATAAAATTTGGTGCGAAATTACAGATAAATTCAAACCTTTACCTTGGCGCATTTTTTCAGCTTGCGCCAAGAATAATTCACTTGGCGAATCTCTTAATTTTTAGCAACTTATTTTCCTTTATTTTTTCACTATAAACAAGCGGGAAAAAGTCATCGTTCATTATTCCAAATAACCGTAACCACATTTATTATCGCTTATACCAAATACGCCAAATTTATCTAATAACCGCCAATATGTAAATTCACGTATATCCTAGGAAATTTTGAATTAAAAAAAAACTAATTTTTTGCAGGTATGCTTAGAAATACACCTACTTTAAGATGAAGGTAAAAATTTTACAGGTTATAATTCAAATTTTTTTCGAAAAATTTATAAAAATTATTTTAAAATACAAATTTTAAAAAATCTGAAAGGTTTCAGATTTTAAATTAGGCCCAAAGGAGCTTTTTTTTAACGTTTCGTGTATTACCTTTATTTATTAAATATCATGTTCCTTACTTACACTTAAGCCATAAAATTCAATTCAACAGTAATATCGCAATATAATTTTAAAATGAGCATATCTTTCGAATTTCCGATACACACTTGCGCGCTGGAGATAAAAGGGTTCCCCCCCGGTAGGGTGTTACCATTGCTCGCTTTTAAATCATTGAGTTTGTTAATAAAAAATTCGTTGATGTTTCAGAAAATGTGAAATCGATATTAAAACAATTTCAAATTTGGGCTTTCAGATGCCCATATTCGCAGTAGAATTACGTCATTCAAAATCGAATGGTTCCAGGTACCGTTGTTTTATCACAATGAGAGAAACATACATAAATTTATGCAGATTCTTCATTATTAAATTTCTTCACATATAATACAGGGCGAAAGTATTTGCCCAAGTAGCACAGAAACCTCGCAACGATGTTGCAAACTCGTCGCGGATGTCGTTGAAAAACGTTGCAATATGTCGTCTTTAAGACGGCCAGATGTCCGCGAACATCCACTGTTTTTCAATCGTTGCAAAGACGTCTTTATTACGTCTTTGCAGATAAGGTTTTTGTCGCACAGACGTCGTTATTGCGTCTTTCGCAGATGATATTTTGGTAGTGAAAGCATAGTATCACGACGTCTAAAGACACCTAAATGTTCGCAAAATTCCACCTTTTTGCAACATTTGTGAAAATGTTTTTTTTTGTCCTTGTGTTACATATAGATTTATGCAGAAAAATAAGCTGAATAATTAATATATTTTTCTTCTTTTTTAAAATCTTGTATTCCTTTATTTATCTAAAGTTTAAATATTTTATCATTTCCTGAAACCCAGAAGATAATAGATTTTTTTTTCTCTTTAAGCTAAATATGCATAATTAATTATTTTTCAGTACTTTAAACTATAGTTTTTTAAATTTCTCTTTAGACTAAATATGCATAATTAATAATAGCCTTAATTATTTTCAGTACTTTAAACTATATTTTTTAAATAACTTAAATTCTAAGTTACGATTATTTAAGATTTCATAATTTTTTTTTCCTTCAGTGAGAGTAATTATGAAAGTGGCTATTATAAATATATAACATTAATAGTAGGTTATAAGTAAATAAAACTTAATTAGACATAAATAAAAGTAAATATATATATGTGGGTAAAAAAAGGAGCGTTTCTGATAACAGCATTATCACATTTATTTCTGTTTAATCTCAGGGACATTGAAAATTGCCCCTGTCATGATACATAAGGAAGCGGTTTTTAAGGTAACAAAATAATCAGAATTTTTCCTGAACTCAAGTATAAATTTATTCGCGTTTCACAGTAAAAAATATAACCATTAACTTCTATATCTCCAAGATATGCAAATGAAAGACAGCATAAAGTAGTTAATAAATGTGATAAAAATATTTTATACAAAAATATACCTAAATCTAATAACTTCCCATATTCATATCTAATGTGAAATAATATCCTAACAAACAACATACAGGACAGCACTGTTCAAGAAAAAACAGGACCTAGTAGTGTTTGAAAATATAAATAGCTGAAGGAAGGTAACGGAACTAAAATTTCCAATTAATAAAAAAAAAATATTTGTATTTTTTAAATAGTACGCAATTATAAGTGCAATGATTATGGTTTGCGGTATTTACTAGTAATGCTGATGTTTGTTAACACCATTTCTTTCGATCATATGTTAATGATCATAATCTTATTTTTAGTTTCTACATTTTATCATAGTGGTAGATTACAATGATTATTTCATGCACTTTTTATAATCAATAACTTTCCTTTTGTTACTGTACAGAAATAATTTAAATACTATAGTATACGATAGTAAGCTAAGTACGTTAAAGTAAGCTCTTCATTAAATAGCACACAATGAAACTTTTTGTTTCTATTTATTATGAATTTCTTTGTTATCATAAGTACATAAAAGGTAAGCGAAGGAAATAGAATATACTTAAATTTAGTAAAAAATAAAACTTGATTTTCAATATTCATTTATTGAGATAATCTAATAAACATACATAACGGCAATATTTAAAAAAAAACGCGAATTTCACAATGTTTGGAAAAATAAATACCAAACGAAAAGTAATAAACTGCAATTTGCAATCAATAAAAATTTTTTTTTTATATTACACAATTAAATATAACATAATTATAAATTACAATATTTCATAGAAGTGCTAATGGTTCCTTTAACACTAGTTTTTCGATCATACATTTCATACACGGTTTAAAATCATTAAACTTTTCTGCATATCGTACAAAAGACACTATAGAATGTGCATTATTATTAAATTTAGTAATTAATT